ATAAAATTTATAACTAAAGTGCAAACAAATTAGCGTAAAATTATAAAGAGAGAACGAGAGAGAGAGAGAGAGAGAGAAAACGTGCGACCTTCTCGATTTCCCGCCGATATAAAAATTTCCCATGCGAGAATGCAATTTGAAAAGAATCCCGGGGAGAGGATAAGTCCCCGGATAATCCGCATCTTCCGATCGGCACGTAACCCTCAATCAAATTCGACTCTCTGATACGCGATATCAGCTTTTGCACGATAACTGCATAATGATATCGTATCACCGCGGAAGGCGGTAGATCCATTTGTCAGATTCGACAAGCGAGTTATGATCAATCCCTCCCTTTTCGGCCGTGGGGCGACCGCAATTCATCCGCTCTCGCGCGGCATTCCTCCTCCGGGCTGGCGATTCTTCTCGCGGCTTATCCTACGGCCGCATCTCCTCCAGCCGTCAAGGAAACGAGAACGAAGGAAGGATCGGCGAACGAGTTCGCCCGCGCTGGACGCAAGTACGCGCGGCCAATGCATGCTGATAAACCCGTCGGAAGAATTTAAATCCCGAGATGCCGTCGTCTGTCTCTCTCTCTCTCTCTCTCTCGCGGCCTTCCTTTCTCACTTTGCTTGCCGTTCGCGCTCCAGCGGAGCGGCGCGCTTCGATCCTGGATCCTTCGCGTTGCAACAATTCTCCGACCGCCGCTGCGGCTTAAATGTATCACGCCGGACGATTTATTAACCCATTTCGCGAGCAGACATTGCGAACTTCGAGGATTTCGTCGGGATAGATACCGATAACTTTCCAACGGTTTGGTGGTACGAGCCGCACCCCGCCGACGCCTTCCGTGCTCCCACGGCTGGCTTTCGTGATTGCGACGCGCCGGCAATTTCGCCGGCAAGAATATTCGCGATCTGATTGATCGCCCTCGGCGGCCCCGACAATCGCGAATGCCCGGGCGTAAGTAATATTTTTGTTGCGCAAACCGCGCGCATGTGTTCTCTAAGAACACGTAAATACGATAGATGGATGGCGCGATAAATTTTTCGGCGAAGAATCTTTCGATCGCGCGCTCGGCGTGCAGAGAAACGGTCGGAGACACGGAGAACGGAGAGGATGGCACGCGAAAAACAGATATTGTCGGGCGAAAGGATCTTCGGTTTGTAATTACAGCCCTGTGAGCGTTGCGCGTCGTCGACTGTCGAAAGGTCCTTCGCATTCATTCGGCGAGCTCGTGAGACACCGACGGAAATATTAATGCCTCTGTTTACCACCTCCCTCGTTAGCAGAGTTCGCGTCGATGAATAAGAGGCCCTCGTCGCTGAAATAAAGGCGCGTTAAAATAGCAGCTGGCTGCAAGTACTCTCGAGCAACCGGCCCGATGTAATTAATATCGCGCTGTAAAATGTAATGTATTTTCTCGTTAAAAATTATTATCGAGGCTCGCGAGCGAGAACGGCGCGCGCAGCCGTAGTTTTTATCAAAATATAATTTCCTCCTGCTTATTCTTAATACGTGAAAATATGATGTACTCGCGGGGGGAAGGGCGGGGAATGTAATCATGAAATATATGTAATGGGTCCGGCCGGGGGGATTTATTGAACGCGTTCTTTCTGTGTGCGCGCGCGCGCACGCACGCACGCACCATATATCGCGGGTGTTTACAAGAAAGGCGAAACAATAGCGGAAAAATTATATTATGAATCTCACGACGGTGCTTTACGATCCGTAGGAATAACACGGCAGTGGTAATTTTCAAGTTGCGCGCGTGGCTGTAAATCGGCCGCGATCTCCCACCCTTGCGAACTAACCGCGGAGTTTCGTATAATTTTATTAGTCGCTTACGCGTTTGTATCGCTAACCCGTAGTTACATTATGTTAACGTGTTTATCGTCACGCGAAGGCGGTTCGTTTAGCCGGCTTAGAATTAACGCTTGCAATCAATTTTGGCGCGTCCAACAAATGGAGGAGAGTCGAAGGGTGTGACTCGGCGGCGAGTTAAATCGAGATTTTTCGAGGAGAGCTCGTAGTCTACCAGTTTTCGACAGTCGCGCTGAATAAACAATAGCACTTACTTCCCCATTATTCAGGAACGTACTTTATATACGGTTGTGCACTCTTCCTTGATTGGACGGTCATTGTCGCGAGTTTTCTTATCTCCCAGCTTCTGCCCCGACTGCGAAACAATCACATCGGCGACGATATGACCGACAGACGTTTCCGACGCGAGGAAACGCCTTCTGTCTTTCCGCTTCTCTCATCTCTCTCATCGTGCGGCGTTGCATTCAGTTCCCCTTTGTTGTTTTCTTGCGCACGAACGAGATAATTCACTAATGGAGGGGCAACTCGCGATTACTTCATCGGCATCGTCTCCTCATCGCATTTCGCAGCCACTTTCCTCGAGAGCATCCATTGTTGCGCGCAGCCGCTTATATCTCGTTTATTTCTCGGCATATTTTGCAGAGACAACTTTATATCGGGAAGCCCCCCGTCGCTTAATTGTATTAATTAATTAACTACGGAAACTACCGGCGAGACCAACTTACAGACACATTACGGTAACAAGTTTGCGGTTGTGGAAAGACGGAAGTTGCTCTAGGTCAAAGTTGAACACGATGGGGACGTCGAGGCAAGCCATTCAATCCGCAAACAGGATTTATCTTCGCTCACTCGCTCGCTCGCTTGCTTCGCGTATCCCTATTTTGTCCCTTACGCTCTCTCCCTCTCTCTCTCTCTGTCTTTGTCTTTCTCCTGATTCCTACGTCCAACAAAGAGACAATTTCCTGATGGACGAGTATTCTCGAAATTCACTGATCTTACAGCGTCGCTTCGAAATTTCGAATAACCTTTAAGTAACTTAATACATTATCGCTAAAAATTTACATGCGCGAAGTAATGTGTTCGGAAGTTAGAAAAACGAAGGAGAAGAAGGATTGAGATAAAATTTCGTTAATTATCATCAAATCTTCGTGTCCGCAGTCACGAAGTCAGTATCAAAGATGGTCACGGTCGTTTCGGCACAAAGTTACGCAGGACGACGAAGATGGGTCGGGTAATTCGATTCGCAAACACGATTTATTTCCTCTTGTTCTCCGCCTAGTCTGTTCTTGTTCCTTTTACTCCGTGGATTTCGTCCTTTTTGCCATTTGATTCACTTATCGCGCCAAAGGACGATTCACTGATGGACGGGGATGTCTTTGGAATGACTTTCACTCTTCCACCGACCCTCGCTCCGTCTTTCTCTCTTTTCTTTTTAAAGTGACGTATGTCACGCGCTGTTCCCACACTTCTGTACTTCATCTGTATTTTGTACGCGCTACTTACCGAGACTCTGTCGGTAATATCGCAACGATCCGTCGAAAATTTTAATTGTTCTTTCCTTCAAAATACATCACGCTATCTGATACGAGTGTGTACGCGTCCTTTAATCTCAAAGCACAGCAATATCCTTGTCTACGGTGTAGCGTGCCGAGAACGATCGAGGCGTCAATTCAATCCGCAAACCGGATTTATCGTCCCATCTACTTCCCGTTCCTCGTCGCGGTCATAGACCTCTCGTCTGCCCCGATTTTCTTATCGCGCGAGAAGATTCTTCGGAGACACGTTCTCGAGGATTTACAAAGTGTTTCTTATAATTTTTTTTTTACTTCTCATCTTCCGGAAACGACGCTTACCCGCTCACCATTGTTCAATTTGTCTCGTTCCTTCCGATTCTTTGGAGCCACTGGCCCGAAGAGTCGAGAAGTCTTCACCGATACAGCGAGTGAGTTGAAAGCCGAGATTATAACTCCCGGCGCGATAAGTTGCCGGCGAATGAATTACAGTGCGGCGCGAAGACCCCTCGACGGCATTAACGGATTACGCGTGCTCGCGCTCAAGGTAAATCAATTCTTACTGAGTAATCGATCCTTTATCCGTCGTGCGATGTAACCGCGTCGTTCCCGACGCGTCCCGAGCTTGGGAGAAGATCCTTTCGCGATATATACACGACGTATTAAACGCGCCGCTATCTGAGAAACTGCCTCAATGAATCGCGGCTCGCCGGGACAAATTAGTATCGCCTGTAAATTATTCTTAAGTCGGAGAATTACGAGCGTAGTCCTCTCGCTTCCTGAAAGGATTACATTAGTCGAGAGTTACCTCTACGGATCGTCTTACAAATTGGAATTATATATTTACGCGAAGTTTTCTGCGCCGCTGCGATATGGCCGAACTTTCTCAATTTTAACACGCCGATCTGTAATTTATCTCGGCCACTTCGCTGCAATTAACACGTTTTCGCTTTAATCTACTTCTTCGTTATTTCGCGCTTATCGGGTGAAATTTCCAGCAACGGCATGAAAATGGCGCTCTTTGCGTTAAACTTTAAATATTGTCTCTCTTTCCTGCGGGAAAAACGAGCCGGCGTTTTATGTTAAGGGTCCGGGGTGGTGGAAAAATGAAAGCATCGTAAAGTGGTGAAAACTTTATATTTCAAAGGTGTCAACAACGCTCGAGAGTAATGTCTGACTAACGAGAAACAACGCTTAACGATGTACCTGCGATCCCGCGCCACGATCGAGCCGTAATCGCTTTCACGAACGACGCCATCGCCGAGAAAAAACAAAGCGGGTAATGTGGAGTAGTATTCAGTTGGGTGCTCTTCTATGACAGGGTTGAAGAATGCAGACTTTAATGTGAAACATGATACGACCGCGCGAATCGTTCAACTTGTCCGATTTTATAAATTATTAAATGTTAATGAGACCTCTCTCTCTCTCTCTCTCTCTCTCTTCCTTCCTCTCTTTCTCTCTCTCTCTCTCTCTCTCTCTCTCATCCTCCCTCTCTGGAACGATATTCGGAAAATTGAAGCATTGTTATCAAAATATATATAAATAACAATGCCATTCTTCATATTCAAACAACAATTTTCTTTGAGAATTTCTGTCGACTAGCGTGCAACATTTACGAGTAACTTAATTTCCTGATGTTCTGCTTCTAAGCAGCCCTATCGTGTTTGCGCTGTCGTAATCTGTTCACTACACTTGCACGACTGCCACTTGCTCTACGGACTCCGTTACTTCCGGCGGCTTTGTGATCTTCATAACGCTTTCCTCCGCCGGCGGTGTCACGGGAACCGCCGCGCTTTCTTCCGGAAATACGTATTCCTCATGGGTCTGCGAAGCTCCGAAATGGTGGCCAAAACTTTTGTAATGTTCATCGTGATCGTGGCCTTCGAACACGGAATGATGATGGTCCTCGTGATGCTTATTATGATGTTCGTGCCCATGTTTGTGGTGATGGTCTTCGAAATGTTTATGACCCTCGTGATGTTTATGGCTATGCTTGTGCTCGTGTCCTTCGTGATGCTTGTGATGCTCGTGATGATTATGGCTCTCGTGATGATCGTGATGATGCTTGTGGTCATGGCCGTGCTTGTGTTCCTCCTGGTGCTCGTGGCCGTGCTTGTGAGACTCGTGATGGTGATGTTTGTGATGCTGATGATGGGAGTGATGATGATCCTCGTGATGTCCGTGATGATGGTCTTCCTTGTGTCCATGTTTGTGCTCGTGGCCATGCTTGTGATGATGATCCTCGTGATGATGATGCTTGTGATCCTCCTGGTGACCGTGATGGTGATCCTCGTTATGACCATGTTTATGCTCGTGCCCGTGCTTGTGATGATGATCTTCATGATGATGATGCTTGTGATCCTCGTGATGGCCGTGCTTGTGGTCATGATCGTGTTTGTGATGATGATCTTCGTGATGGCCATGATGATGTTGCTCATGGTGACCGTGTTTGTGCTCGTGGCCGTGATGATGCTTATGGTCTTCCTTGTGCTGATGCTTGTGCTGTTCCTTGTGCCCGTGACCGTGATGATGATGATGGTTCTCGGTTTCCTTGTGCGTGTGATGATGGTGATGCTCGTTGACGTGATGATGATCGTGATGATGGTGGTGCTCGTTGTGGTGATGATGCTTGTGATGATGATGATGCTCGGAGTGGTGCTTGTGTTCTTCATGATGCTCGTGTTTCGATTGGTGGTGATGTCCGTGGTGGTGCTTGTGGTCGCCGTGATGCTTATGCTCGTGGCCGTGTTTGTGACCGTGCTTGTGATCGTGTTGATGCTTGTGCTCGTGGCCGTGATGATGCTTATGGTCGGAATGGTGCTTGTGACCGTGATCATGGTTATGTCCGTGATGGTGGTGATGGCCGTGATGATGCTTGTGATCCTCGTGATGTTTATGGTCCTCGTGATGATCGTGGCCGTGCTTGTGCTCGTGGCCGTGATGATGCTTATGGCCGTGATGGTGCTTGTGATTAGCGTGATGATCGTGATGCGCATGATGCTCGTGATGATGGCCGTGGTGATGCCCGTGGTGATGCCCATGGTTATGATGGAAGGATTTCTCGAAGTCGTGGATCCTGCGTTGCGATTGTACGACCGACGGGGTCACAAAGGTTACATGAGTGCTTGGGGATTGCTCCGTTATCCGTGTGATGATCTGCTTCGGTTGTGGACTGATTCGTGGAATGACGCTGTTACTCACGCCACCCGCGCCGAAGGTCGTCGGAAGAAGCGGCGGCGGGGTCTGGCTATTGAGCGATAACAATGGCTGGAAGTTTAGCCCGAGATCGCCCAGCTGCCGTTTCTTCTGGATTCTTTCGGACGCCGAGATAATGTTCGCCGGGCTCCGAGCGAACGATCCTGGCAGTTGTAATTGTCGCGGCAGCCTGATAGAGTCGACCGATTCCTGCTTGGCCGTCGACACTTGTGGTCGAATCTCATTTCGTGTCCTAGGATCCTGGCTGGCCGCTGCTGCCAGCAACAGACCGACGACCGGAAACCACGCCTAGGATGACAGATGAGGTTAGTAAATGAGACCCTTTGGGGGACGTCTTTTAAATCGCTAATTTTAAATCATTAATTGACCGGAGACACTTAATTGACATTAAAACGGGACGAGCGATTCGTTTATTGACAATATTAATTATCTGTAATTGTATAGTGTGTAATGTGCAGATTTCTTATCCGCAATTATTCGTCGCTATAAATCTATTATTCTACCCCGTCTTAATCGTACGCATATCGTAATTGTTACTTATTTTAACTAATGGTTGCTCTAGAAGAAATGACGCGAATAATGGCTGTTTAACCCGTAGAAGACACAAAGCGTGTCGTATCAGGTATTCATTTTCGCGGCGCACGCGGTGCGCGTGCACGCTCGAGCGGAAGGGCCGGAGATAATATCCAGTAAATCGTCGGGGAGTCGTTTTATCGCGCTTCGGCCTTCTTGCTGCGGATTTCCTCGAGGGAAGAAATGGAGAGAGAGAGAGAGAGGAGAGACAGAGAAAGCGAGAGGGAAAGAGAGAGAGAGAGAGAGAGAGAGAGATCGGTCGGCTAACGAGAACCGAAATCACATCTCGAAGTAGGTAGGAAAATCAGCGTGGTCAGCTGCGGGATATTTGTCGCGTGGAATCAATTAATCACGCTCGAATATAGTCGCACCCGTGATTTATTCGAGTTTCTGGCAGTACCGACGCGCGTAGGAATTGGGAATCAGCAGAAGACGACGACGACGACGGCGATATCAAATTATTCTTGGAGATTCGCTTTTGTGATTCACTCGGCCGTGCGATCCGACTCGACGAAAGTAGATTGAATCTGTGATGCGATTTCGCGCGCTCTATCTCCTTTTTCTGCAGCTTATTTAATTGAGTAGTCTCGAAATTGCGAGGGTGCTCTTCTCACTTATATGTCGCGCTTTCCTTCACACGCGCGCCCGGTGGACCGTTTTGATTTTATCTATTATTCACCGAGCCGTAGATCCAAAATTAAAAATCGGGTTATCGTGGCATACCTAATTCGGCTTGTTTCGTACGATCAAATTGTGCTATTTTAAACGCCGGTTCTCTTAGAGAGAGAGAGAGAGAGAGAGAGAGACTTTCAATTTGGAATTCGCATTAATAATATTATCCCAGGTAATCTTATTCCACCGACGTTACTTTTAGATATTGCGTTATGAAATTAGCAGCCCCGCGTTTTGTAGACAACAAGACGAAGACACAACGTTCGGGAATAGATTCACGTGCGCGCGAATGCAATTTTTATTTTCCATCGGTCTCCCTGAGTAAATCGTATTTTTTCTAGTCCAACGTAAACTCTGGAAATAGCGTAATACCGCGGAATGTATGTCAATTGCAATCGGCACTCGCGCCGAGCGGGTGGCGCGAGGGAAGCTTTTAGAACGATTATTTAACGCTTTCAATCTCCCGGGACGGGAACAATTAAACGCTCGATCCAATTAGAATCGAAAGAGTCTCCATCGAAGGAACTTTAGAGAGACGGAATCTCGGTTTCCTCCCTCGACTCTCTTCATCGTTTCTGCTTCCGCAATATCTCATTCGACGGCGTCGCGACGCCGCCACCGACGACGATGACGCCGACGCCGCCGCTAATTTCCTCGCTTCGCCGTTCGTGGAAGGAGTTGCAATTGCAGCGCGAACCGGCCCGCGATGGGGTCCACGATGCGACGCTGATATATTCTTCTTGAAATGCAAATGTTCCGACGCCTTTAATAACTCGGAATTTAATCAGCGACAAAGCAATTTATACAAAAGATCCCGGATGACGTCGGCGACGCGCCCGACGTCGTCGCTGGACGCTCGGCGCCGTCCGCTACGACGACGACGAGAATCACAAACGGCGAGACGTGTTTTGCGAGAGTGGAAGAGAGAGAGAGAGAGAGAGAGAGAGAAGGGTAGTCCGACGTCCTTCCTCATTACGAAACTTTGGCCACATTTACAGCCGGATTAACGGCTGAGAGATATACGTGAGAGCGGACGCGATATCGAGTTGCCGCGCGAAAATTTTAGGGTACCCGTCGATTAAGCACCGCTACGTGTCGGTAGTGCGCACGCACGCTCGCCGTCGGTGACGGACGTCCGAATGACTTTTATTAGTGACACTTGTACATCACAACTGTCCGCGAACTCGAGGCCAGATATATCACGGACCTTAAAGCCAGAGTGATGTCGACGATAAATCCCGAGCGTTATGTTACGCGGTGATCCATTCGCGAATGCTTTATCGGATCCGGGTGATGCATATATTAATCAGCGTGATCGAACGCGGCGAAGGGGCGGCACGTAAAGGGTGAAAACGATATTTTTATGGGATTTGCGCGCGAAAAGTTGGACATCTCGCTTCGGCGCCACGCGGCTGAATTCTTATTCGCTCGCTTTCGCGGGTTACGTGGAAAGTGCTCCCGGGAATGACTGCGATGAAGTTCGCGGACACTGTTCCGTTCACTCCTCGCCCTCGAGATAAGAGAGACTTACCCACGTTACCATGCCGGCGTTATTTCTCCGAGGTGGGACCGAACGCGAACAACTGGATGCCGAAACAGTGCGACCGTGTACTTTTATAGAGAACCTGCCTAACTCGCGATACTTTCTTCCGTGCTAAGCACCAATGTCGTTTACGACGAGGCCTAATGTTTTAATCGTCGTCGTAATGTCCGGCGAACCGCGACCGGCACCTCGAGCACCATCGCAATCGGTCGAAATTCATTCATACCCAACGATCGTTGCCCGATCGGCTCGCTTGCCATTTCCGCCGCGCCTGAAGAAACTCGAGGAAGCGATCACCTTCCGCTCAGCTTGATCGCTCAAACGAGAGTTTGCGTCTCCGGTGGAGGTACATGTCACGTCTCTTTCTTTCCTTTTTTTCTTTTTACGTCCGACAGCGGGCGATACATTTTTCAGAGTTAATTTTATAGCGAAACTCGGTCATCTCTTTTTTACAGCGCCCGTGCGATTCCTATGAATTTTCATGCGCTATTTGTGCGCAATGGTAATAAAGTGCACGGGGATTATTGTGTAAACGAGAATATACGCGTGTATAGGAGCGAATGCGCTTTGCGGCCACTAAATTTCTGGCAGATGCATTTTGTCTCGCGCGCACTTCCCGCAAAGCGAATTTATTCCCCGGCGAAGGTGACGGCCGGGGTAAATCGCGACCGAGCTTATTAGTCCGGTTCGGGAAGAAATGACGGCTCTTAATTACCGGAAATGAAGGAACGAGACGACGTGGACATTTTAACCGGTTTTTATTACCGCCACCGTCGCGACTCTCGTAATTTTAATCGTTTCTCCAACACGCTAATCGAATTTCCCGCTTTCACGTCACTCTCATATCCGTCCGCGTCGTCCCTTTAGGGTAGTGACAGCGCTCGCGTACACGGACGTGTATTCAATATGCGTATTAGGCATGTGCGATCAGGCGGAAACGAAGCAAGCGATGCGTGCGACCGAATTAAATTAGTGGCGTTTACTCAATAAGGCGAACCGTGCGACGTCTTCCTAGGTTTCTCCCATTGAACGCGCGAGAATAATCGTTAATGTGAACGCATCCAATAACGTGCTCGCGACGAGTCGGATTAAACGGTCCAGAGGTTTACTTTGAATCAGCCGGTCGTTGTGTTACCGAGCATGCACAATCACGAAGCGCATTGTAATTCCACTGGTTCGATAATGGCAAGGTGATATTTTGATACGTTCTCTTCTTCAAAACACTCCTTGTACTTGATCTTGCGTATTAATCCTCTAATGGCAAGATAAGGTTGGGGTCGAACCACCATGCTTTATTTTGTTTTTTCATCTAATTAATGTACGAAATGGATAAAAGAAATAAATAATAACTTTCTCCTCTGTTTAATTCCGGATGAAAAGGTACGATAAAAGTTTGCCAATTGACTTGAAACAATTGCGGCAAAACACTTTGAGAAACGAAGGTCCACCCTACCCTTAAAGGGTTAACAAACCAGATCAATATTCGACGGCATATCGAATATCGGTACGTCGTAAGAATTTTGAGCGCGACTTGATCGAATTAATTTATTCACGTCGATTATCTCAGCGTGAGACTCAGATAGCGCTGTCGGCGCTATATGATCCGTATAAACGAACGATGGGGCTCACGAAGCAACGACGATCTCGTCGATGTATGTGTGTGGTGGATATACCATCGAAAATATTCTCTCCAACCGCACCACCACAATCGCGGCAGCCGGGCGCTGAGGGCATTAGGAATTCTCCGATAGTCCGCAGATTATTGTCAGCATCGGCGGGTGTCTTTCCCTATCAGGATATCACGGTGAAACGTTCTCGTGAAACGGCGATAAAGATAAACGCCCGTAGCAATGTCGCGCGGCCAATGGGCCGTCGCGCGATATACCCACTCTATAGTTCTCTCGTAAAATACTTATCCGCCACCGACCGCCGCTCGCGGTCTAGCTCGCCTTACTTATTCATAGTTGCCTATTCCTCGACAGTTTCGTCGTTCCACGTCGGATTTTCTTTCGCCGGATAGGGAGAACTATCACGACGGTCTCTCGCTTTCTCGTGCGGCGCTCTAATTTTCCTTAACCCTGTCGCGAGAGAAGAGACCTTCCGGTCTCCACCAGCTCCCCGAGTGCCGAACGAATGAAGTTAGCTCGGTGAAATCCCCGTCGCTCGCGTGACGAGAGGTTTCTTCGAAAAATTCGCATCCGCGGTTCCTCTTTTAATTCGACATCGAGGATCGTAATTCAAGCAGATATTTCAACGTCACCCTCGTAAATCCGGATTGTAAACGCGATTCCGTTTCTCTTTCTTCCTCGCATCAATTCGAGAAATGTAGAACGATTGGTTAGAGAGAGAGAGAGAGAGAGACTCGGCAGGAAGTTCTTCAGTACGCCGGTCTTCCGATTAGGGGCTGTAATATTTGTTTAATGCGCAGTCAAATAGTGCTTCGCTCGCTCTCTATCTCTCTCTTTCTCTCCCTCGAGCTGCGGAACGAGAAGTTCAGCCGGAGCAAAGCCGGGTGTATAGGAGGGGCATTATTACGCCGTCGAGCCGCAAGTCTTCCCCATCTACCGTCTTCTCTCCATCTTCGAAGCTTCGTAGCATTAGTAGCGGCCTGGTAATTATTTCCGCACGATTTTCTCGACGATATGCCGGCGCTCGGGGATCCGGGAAACAAATCGAGAGCCCTGAATCCCGATCGAAATGTCGGTCACGGTTCCCCGCTCTGCTCGTCCCACTCGGAGCCGTCTTTGCGTCCTCGACATCCTCGCAATTACGCGGTAGCAAGGATAATTTACGAAGAGGAGGAGCCGAGACGCGAGTGCGATGAAAGAAAGTTTTTGACTCGACGCCTTCTCGCCGACACGTTATCGATTTAGACATTAGCGTTCAGCGGTGATAATGGAACGGCCGCGTTTACGCGCGCTATCAGCCCTCACGCCATCGGTATTGTCGGTCACTTTAAACGACGGTTCCATTATTTTCCCAAGCCACCCCGGCCCCCGGTTTTTTCGCCCTTCCGTTTCTTGTCCCGATCGCTGTGACGCGGCGCGCGACCCGCGGGATTAATTCCCGACATTTCGCCGTCGTCATGATCTCCCTCTCGCCGTTAATTTATTTAAAACGCGTGATTAGCTCGCCCATGTCCGTCGCGAGTGAATTTCGAACGGAACAGTCTACGGAAGATGGAGGAGAGCCTCATTACTCACAATCAACGAACGTGTCGTAATCGCGACCGCCGGACGTTACGGTAATAATGACATTCGCGGCTCATGCGTTATACATCGTCGGCAATTTTGCATTTCGCGGCTTTTGAATTTTCGACGTCGGCAATACGATTCCTGCTTTTTCTAGTTTTCTTCCTTCTTTTTTTCGCTCGTTATCTGTCACGCCTCGCTGGTGAATTCTGAATTTTTCAGGACCGCGTCGCGTTGCTACATCAGACCGGATAAAAAAATAATGTTCAGAGCGTGCTGCAAAAATTAGCGGCGCGCGAGGCTTGTTTTGTGCGCTTAGCGGAATTAGCTTTTTGACGGGAATTGCGGTTGACACACAGAGCGTCTCTCACTCTCTCTCTCTCTCTCTGTGTGTGAAAACCGAACTGATAACGTTACTTGAAATAAATATCTATCTTTATTACGCAGCGTTATTCTCCGTCGAGGTGGATTTGCGAAGCTTAACGTTAACCGAACCATATTTTGTCTATCCTTCCGTCAAGCCCGGCGCCTCTTAAATTTTCCAATGGTTTTTTGATCACTTCGCTGCTATACAAATTGCACGCTGTTTCACAATGTAAAAAATTCGATGTATTTACCGCGTGGCTCGCGAATGTCTCCCTTTTTCCGAGGTAGTAATACGAGGCTACAAAAAACCAGCTGTTCTTTTGTGCTGTCAGTGAGGATCAGCGAGCGTGTTTTTGCCGCGTCCGCGAACGGTTGCGAATTGCAGCGACTGTCGTTAATAATGCACCATCGTGTAACACGTTGTCCGCTGCAAAGCCGCTCGCTTGTTAACGTCTTAGGCGACGTAGTACGGGCCGGCCGGGGTGGAGAAAAGCTAGCGCGTAGTGAAGAATTTCGAATAATCAGCAAGAAGTCCTCTAACGAGTGTTGGGAGAACAAAGCCGAGCCCTTCGCGCCGACGAGAAGTGGTCGTATAACGATTTATGGTCGCATAGAATTTTACGATTCGCGCGAAGCTGGTACGGCCGACGGGATATAATGTCCACCTCTTGTTTGCACAAGCATTGTATTTAAATTTAAATGTCGCAATTATAAATTAAATTCCTGAATTGTAAACTCTCTCTCTCTCTCCCTCTCGCATACCTTCCTCTCTTCCTGCTGTATTTACAATTAATATACAAGGCAGAAATTACATTACGTTTTAATAAAATTTCATCATTAAAACACAACAGCCATGTAACACTTCGCGATGAAAGGGCATCTGATTTTCTAAAAGAAAAAAGAAAATATTTCACATCGACATATTATGTGCGCCAAGCTAATGTTACACGCCATTATTAGCGCGCTCGGTTACTGTCAACGGCGATCAATGCATGCGCTATTTTTAAGGTTTTCGAAATCGCCCATATATTATCGTCAACGTAACATGGATCAGCTGAGCGATGTACATAATCGATATGAAGCGCAAACAAGCATAAATCAAGTTGACCTGAAAACACCACTATTTAGCCTCATATGTACGTACCGTGTATATGCGGCCGGATTAATTTTCATACGCGCGAGAGATGTGCGCTTCTACTCGATGCTGGCCGAGCACACCGCCGCGAATTGAAATAATAACATGCGTGACGTGCATGGGACGAGTATAATAAATCGGCGCCAGGGATGGGTCGCACAAGCGTGGCAAGTAACAACGAGTTAATCGGAAACGGGCCGGCGCGAGATATCCGATGAAAAACGACGCCGTCGACGTCGGGACGTCACGCCGTCGTACAACATCATTTATTCTTCATCCGCGTGGCAGGAACAGCAGTAAGGTGACGGGAATAAGAAGATCGCTGAAGAAGTCGGGATGAACAGGGAGGAGCGAGAGAGCGAGAGAGAGAGGGAGAACAAGAGGTGAAGAAAGCGGGGCGCGGGCAGGGAGAAACGGAGATAAAAAGTACGGTAAATAGACGCCAGATACACCCTCGTAAAACAACCGGCACGGAAGCGTCGTCGTTTCTCCAACCTTCGTCGACCCATTTCTCCGCGTTTGTCGCGCGCGGAATCGACGACGAAGCGAGTAGGATATCCGGTCAGTCAAAACTGCCATTTTCCCCGATGCGACTAATAATAATTACGATCGGCGTGTGCGTTTCCGAAGAAATTCCGCCGCCATGCCATTTCTCTCCCAACCGGTCGCCACCTGGTGTATATTAGAGGGGAGACTGTGAGATAATTGCATGCCTCTTAGAACGTCGCCCAGGCCGTTTCTTGCGGGACGCGCGCGCGCCCGCGAATGCATTTGAGAAAATTACGGCTTTTTGCGCTCCTGCTCGCCGCGGTTCCGCTCTTTCTTTGTTCCCGGGAGATAGTTGCGCGCAATTTCGGCGCGGATCGCGAGACCGCGAGGATTAGGCGCTATTTGACCGCGGCTCGTTAACGCGTCGCGGAGGTTGGCATTTATTTATACAGGCGACCGTGCTCGGTTTATTTGCTTTATTTGCTCTTATCGCGGAAACAACAGCGTCAATAACGCGAGGAAAGAAACACTTTGCGATATTTATCCGTGCACAGACTGTCCATTTGCCGGTGAAACCGCGCGCGCGGGGTTGCGACGAGAACTTGTTCAACGAGAACTCCCTTTTTTCACCGCCGCTCGCCGCTTCTTTACGCGATATTAAATTAGCAACGACGAATGCTTTTAATCAGCGGCGATAACGAGAGATCTATCTCCCTCTTTACGCCACTTCAGCCTTCCCCGTTCATCTCCCTTCGGCTCCAACGTCGCGGAACAAGCGCGGAAGCACGAAGTTTAGCAGCCCGTTGTCTCAACGACCTCTTACGAATTAAGAATCGGCTTAAATTATGAACGTCCCCCATCCCCTTCCCCTCCCTCCCCTTCTCCCGCAGTTTCGCGCCGTATCTCGAAACGCGGAATTTGCATTCCAAAGAGGCAGCGTACCGTCTCGGGCTCGGCGAGCAATTTGTTCGTCCTTTCTTTGACGAGCATTGCCATCTCCGTGAGTTCGAAGCGAGTTCGCGCTCGCGTCGGCTAAGGAGAACCGCGAGCCCTGCCCGACAAATTGGTACTACTTACGAATTTATCAGCAAGTTTCACCGCATCACCA